AAAAAAAAAGGAAAAAAAAAAGAAAAAAAAAAGAAACATAACAATCCTTATGTCCATAGGTTGGAGCCTGCCTCACTTGGTTCACCTAGATCGCCCGGACGAAGTATTGCTCGAGTGGTACAATGTAAAGCGGAACGGAGGTCTTGAAGGGAGCCGGGATCCCCTTCAATGGTCCCTGAAGAAGGAACTACATCGTGTTAGGGTTATGGAAGAAGGTGGTAACCGGCAGGCTTTCCTTCCTGAGCTAGCTTTGGCCTGCCTACCAATCGACCCTCTGGAGTGGATCTGGTCCCCTGAGTCACAGCACCACCCGCGCCAACTGAAACCCAAAACACTATCGAATCTCTCGGTGAAGGCGACGTACGGAATGCTCAAAACTAAGCGCAGCCTAAAAGAAACAGTGATCGACAGATGGCAGAGGCATCTCAATGTCGAGAGACAGCTTCTCACACCGATTCGTTGGTTCCGCGACATAAAGTGTAGACCGGCGAAAATCATGTCCTTACAATGGCAGATTTTACACCGGTGTTTACGTACAAACAACTGGCTGATTGACCATTCGCGGCGGAAACAACAAGGCCGTGCGCTCCCGTGGTGCTCTCGTTGCCTCCTGGTGTTTCCGGCTAGAAAGAGAGCAGAGACAATCGAACATATCTTTCTGCAATGTCCTACCGCAACCTCGACCTGGAGGTGGTGGGATAGGGTGTGGCAGCAAATGGTCTCAGGGCATCCATGGCCGTGGGATTGGCGGCCCATTCTGATAGGTCACTACCCTCCCTTCGAAGATAATACTTTTGTGTCCAATATGTTCCACCTGTCCCGAAGAACTATTCTTTGGGTCTTGTGGTGGCAACGCTGTCCTAACCTTAGACCACGTCCGAGTAGAAGGAGAAGAAACGGTGGAACTGCTCAAAACACATTTCCAACTCGAAATCTCGCACACGTGGCAGTCAACCAAGCAGGTACTTGATTCGCTCCATAGACCCAAGGACATCAGGGAATGGTTACTTCAGTTTTCCAGGGACTGGCTCGGTGGGGACCGGGAAGGATGGGTAGCGGAAGTACTTTGGATAGGGGACTGGGAAGGTGGAGAAGGAAGGGAGGATACACGAGTCAAGGATGTCCCACGGGACTACCACCTGAGGTTTAAGAGTGGTTGTGACGCCCAACCTCACGCCCGACGCGACTTCCTGATCAGAGTGGAGTGGGGGCCTGGAAGTGCAAAAAGGGGTGTGCCAAGGATTTTTGGAAAGTGGGGGTGGAGTCCCAGGTCGGAACTGAGATCTCCGGTGGCAAGGTTCAGGGGCATAGATGCAATAGAGCAATGGGGAAATTTACGAGCGCGGGTTTGCACGCTGGTTGTGCGGGGCCGTCCGATCCTGACGTGATTGCCAGTTCAGGGGAGCCTGTCGAGGTGATCCTTGGGGCCTAGGCCTGCGCGGTCCGCCACGTGGCGTGGGTTGGTGGGAACTATGCCTAGGTGCCGAGGCTCCGGGGGTCTGGGTATGGGCATGTCGCCTGCAGCTTCTGCACGGGGTGGAGGGCTAGTAAGGTGCTATGGAATTCCACGGTACTACTGTAAGCTAATGATAGGGGAGGAGGAGGTGGTATGGCGGGAAGTTAGTGGTGACAAGGACGAAGCCGGGGGTTATGAAATACTGCGTGTTGTACGTGTTTGGGTAGTCGGGTATCCGTGGGTGGCTTCGTACGGCGAGATGGAATTCCCTAGCGCAGAATCTATCGTTTTCCGTGAGGTAGGGGAACACCGGGTTTCTCAAATTTCCCCGTAATCGGAGTTGCTCTTCTTCCCAGATTTTTCGGTACCCGAAATACAATTCGTAATCCCCAGAATTCCAAGATACGTCGGAACTCCGCAAGCTCGTCATTCTTTCATCACTCACGCCTTGGGGGATAAGTTAATCAGGGAGATCCCCGCTCGTAAGTGCGTGAGAGAGAGGTGAACAAGTCGCACTTACGCGCACTTACGCGCGATGGGTAACCCGATCCCGATTGACATTGACTCCTACTTCAGTGAGGGGCTGACTACGCGTGTTAGCCAAGATGCGATTGGCGAGTCCGAGTGGTATGGACGCATGTAAGCCGCGCTAAGTCCGGATCGCACTTGCATGTGCCCATATGGCACATCGGATGGTGCGCTCCAAACCACTCTTAAGCCAACACACTCTATTGATCACACTAACATGCAATCCTAATTTCATTCATCATGTGCGAGGGTTCGAGGGAAACGATCAAAAACGAAATGCAAGGGTGCGCGAACCATCCATACATTATTTGCAAAAGAGGATTCCGGAGAAGGAAAGTCAAAGGAGAAAACATCGATGAAAAACCAAATCGAACAACAGGACGAGTATATGGCCGCAAAGACAAGTGCGAATTGTCCGTAATCGACACAAAAATTTATGTACACAGATAAAGAAAGGAACGAAAAGAAAAGCGCAAATCCATGTCCATCCTCAACCTCAACTCTCTCTCTCCTCTCTCTCTCTGATGTCGACAGTCCGTCGTCGCGCACCAACACACGAAGCCGTCACCCCGCTTAGTCCTCCTGCGCCTGTCAGGTTCGCTCCGCGCCCACAGTCCGTCGTGGCCCGCGTCAACCCCAAGCATTCGGCACCAGCTCGTCGGGTCGCCCGACTCCCACTTCACTCACCTCTTACTTCGCTCGTGTGCCGACCCTCTCGATCGCGCAACCCCGAGTTTTCAGCAACTGTTAAGAGAGGGAGTTAATCGCGCAGCCGGGATTTATAGCGTGCATGCATGCGCGAAGAACACGAAATTACAAGGACGTAGATAGATGGGGGAAAGGGAGTGCTTACGTTTGCATGGTCGGGCCGCGGCGTGGGGGACGTACCCAACTCCACGCATCGATCCGATCATGCAATCGCGGCTACCCAGATAGGGAGGGGAGAGAGGAAGAATAAGAAGCAAGAAACAGAAAGATACAGTTACAAAAGTGTGCGCCCAAAATTACAGTTGCAAAAGGATTAAGGCGCCAATCAATCAGGGTCCTGGCGCAGCAGCAAGAAAGAGCGCGCGAACACGCAAAGCGGCGCCCCAGAAAAACCGAAATTCCAAAATTCATAAATTCCTAGCTAGCCTGCCGATATTATGAAAAGGTCCGAAAAGAAAATCAAAATTTCAAAGGCCTCATGGCTCCGACCAAGATTCGAAAAGAAAATTCAAGAAGGAAATTCAAAAAGAGACACCGAAATTCCTGCGCAATGTATGTGCGCCTAAAAGTCCGACAAAACAAAATTAAAAGAAAGGAAACGAAAGAAAAGAAGCGACGTCAAGGTTTATTAATCGTGCACTCGGCGCGCACTCTGCATCCATCCGACCAAGCTTGACCCTCTTTTCCCCTTACATTCCCGAATTGTCCCCAACTGTCATCAGGGGCTTGTGCGAGAACGAAGAGGCAACGAACAAAGCAAGGACACACATGCAATTTTCCATCAACCCGTCCAATCGACGTGGGACCCCGCTGAGCATTTTGCGCAGAAAGCCGCGCATTACAGCAGCTAGTTCGTCACATATGTGACGCCCAAGGGGTTCCAAAGATAACCAAGCTCCTGCTTGCTAGCTGACGTGTCGATCATCTTTGATTGATTGGCCGTGGAGGGTGGATCTTCTTTTCTGCTGCATACCGTGCAAACGAGTGTGGAAGTCATGTTGCGCGGCGGTCGTATCCTGGTTGTCGTCACTCGTGGGGAAGAGGAAAAGGAAGACGATAGGCAAGCGGAGGTGTTGATGGGGGATGAGTCGGGATAGGCGGGAAGAAGCGTTCCAGCTCATCGTCCGTTTCCAGAAGGCTCTGATGATGGACGGTTCTATGGAAGCGGGGGAATCGGCGGTCAGTAGTGGGGAGAGAAGCGAGGTAGTCGGGATAGAGAGTGGTGAAGGTTCTAAGAAGCGCCGCGCGAAAGCGATCGCGGTCGGCGCATGCGGGGATTAACCCCGTGATGAGGCAATAAACCTCTACGGCGTTGATACGATGCCATCCTACGCTGAAAAGAAGTACATGGAGAGGGAACTCAGGGGAAGCACGCTAGGAGGATGAGTGGGGATGGACTGTGACAGAGAGACGGATGGAGAAGAAATGACGGAAAGTGTCGCGGGGGAAGGGATTGTGGGGGAAGACGGCGGGACGGGTGAGCTGGCGCAGGGTGAGGAAGTCATGGGGGCGGAGAGAGAGAGCCCGAGGACGAAGGCCGATCGGCCTCATCTCGATGTGCTCGAAGTGCGGGACGGGCCACGAGGGAGAGGGAGGCGGAGGGGGAGCGGCTTCGTCGTCGGCGTCGCGGTGGGGAAGGAGGCCGGCGAGCGGACGACCCAGCCACCTGGGCCACATCGCCGTCGTCTGGCTGAGGTGGCTCCGGGTCGAGCGTTGGATCGTTGCCGATCGGAAGATCAGCAACCGGTGCAATTTCTAGCTGGGGATCCTCGTCGGCATGCTACTCGTCGTTGTCGTCACCGCTCCCTTGCTCGCTGTCTCCTTCTTCTGTTTCCTCTTCGCTCTCCGTTTGCAGGAGCTCGTCTTCGTCTCCTTCTCGCTGCTGTGCCGTCTCCCCTTCGTCTTCGTTCAGATTCTCCTCCTCTTCCTCCGAACTTTCTTCCGCGAGCTCCTCGCGGACTATCTCCTCCAATTCGTCCTCGTACGGCAGTCTATAGAAAGAGGGATCCACGATGTCGCGCGGATCCAAATAATCCAACCGTGAAGGCGGAATTTTCGAGGGGAAGCCCTCCACGCAAGCTGACCACTGAAGATACGGCGACAGCGTGCGCGAGGTGACGTGGGGCACCAAGCGCGGGTCGACCTGGGAGACAATGTTGACGTCAAGATCGTCGGCCAGCTGCGCAATTGGGACCGTAAGCTCCTGGGTGAGAAGCCTCCGACAGCCTGGACGCACTGCCCCGAATAGAAAACCGAGAAGATCCCCCTCTACTTCTGTCCGCCACGCCTGAATCAAAAGGAGCTCCAATCGCTCAGACCGTGGATAATTTCTCTCGTCCCTCGTCCACGTCACCTGTACTTCCGCCAAACACAGTGAGAGTTCGATGAAGTCTCTGCGCCACGCGTCCCACTGAGAGGGATCGAGGAGGGGAACAACCAGAGGAGTTATGCAGAAGGAGAGGCGGGGATGAAGATCAGACTGCCAAAAGGTGGGGAAGGAAGAAGGAAGCTCGAAGGTAGAGATCGGGAAGGAGCTCATCGGGGATGGAAGGGGATGAGAGGGGGCAATTGCGTCGGCGGGTCACGCCGATCCAGCCGAAGGCCGTTGTATTCGATCGCTCGGATTGGTGTAACCACGTCCCCTTGACGCGCCAGGAGCTGGGTCCACTCGTTCTGAAGATTGTGCACCCACAGAAGCAACGCCACCTTGATTCTCGTATGTCGGCAGGGGGGGATCGCCGTGAGATCTCCACTGAAATTAACCACCACCATTATCCGGCCGACGCCCGCAGATGCTCGTTGTCGCAACCCGACAGCTTCGGCCAATATGATCGTGTCAGCCTTCCCGTCGACGTGGATCTCTGCTGCCGCGTGGACGCCCTTCGAGCAGAGCAGAAGAATTGCGCAAGCCGCTGAAGGTCCGGACTAAGACGAGGATGATGCACCTGCCGCAGTGTCAAATTCCCACGTGCTACCAGTGCTTCTTCACTTAGAGCTCTCTCCTCCATAAAGCTCATGGCGACGGCGAGGGTCACGGCGTATCCGACAGGGATTGAGAAGGAGAAGGAGATGCAGAGGAGGTGGAGTCGTCGTCGGGAGAGGTTGATAGAGAAGGAGACAGAACAGAGGGAAGAAGACGGAGATAGGACACATGGCGTGTGATCGGGCGAGCCGATCGACTGCCGGAAACCTCGGGAGCGAGGCGCACGGTGTCCACGCCGTTGGGTCCGAGTTCAATCACTCGATACTGTCCGAAGAATCGTGGCGCTAGTTTACCCTGGCGCGCACATTTCCTTACCTGCACAATGTCGCCTAACTTATACTGGGTCCTGGGACCCGCATTCCCGTTTCGGGCCTCGTAACTCTGGACCTGCCGGCCATGGGCCGATTTGGTGGACCGTTGTCGCTTCCGGGCTAGTCTAGGTAGGGACCGCTCCATAAGTTCCAGGTGCCGTTTGGCTTTGTCCCGAGCGGTGGCCCTTGTGGGGCATCGGTTGAGTCCTGATTCGTCTGGGAGGCTCGGTATCGACACACACGCGACACTATTGGTCCGCAACTGGAAGGGGCTTAGGCCCGTCGATTCGTGGGGCGTTCCGCGATGGACCGCCAAGACGTGGTCGACAATATCAGGCCAGGGTTGGGGGTCATGTGCCGCAATATTCCGCCGCAAGGCCGTTTTTATCACCCTATTCGCGTTTTCCACTAATCCGTTAAACTGGGACATGTGCGGGGCCGTGTGCCGTATGGGGACGCCGTGTATGACCAGATTCCTCTCGACTTCTCCTCTAAATTCAACCCCATTGTCGGTCAGGATCTCTTCGGTGTCCTGGTGCATGCCCAGAAAACGGTTGATGTACCGCGCGATTTCCGCGGCTTGTCGTGTCTTGTAGGGGTAGGCCTCGATCCACTTAGAAAAGTGGTCGACGAAAACCAGTTGAATTGAACAGTCGCAACTATTCGGTCCGGGGGGCACCACTTTATCAGTAGTATCCATACTAACCCTCTGAAACGGCCTTTCAACCACAGTTGGGACTATCGACCTAGTCGGTTGGGTTGGGGTCTTGTCAGCAGTGCAGACCTGGCAGTGTTGGACGATGAATTTAACGTCGTCTCGGATATTGGACCAGTACCATTGATTTCTGTCAATCGCAGCTTCGGTAATACGCACGGCAAAATGCACCGCCGTCTCCTCGTGGGCTGTCCGTACCCACTCGTACCGCATAAACGGGTGCAGAACTACTAACCATGCCCCACTGCCGTCTGTTTTACGCTTTTCTAATCGTCCTCCCACCCATCGGTAATCCCGTGCTCTTTAATTGGCCCTCCTTTGATCCTCCTTGGAGAAGGTTTCGAGGGAGTTTCCTACCACATTGGCTATCAAGGCGACATCTGTCCACACTTCCACTCTTCTAACTTCTGAATTCTGTCGGGGCCTTCCGACGTGGCATCGAGAAATCGGGCTTCCGTCGGAATCTTGTCAATGCGACATAAGGGACAGAACCAGGGTCTATCACTACTCCGATACTGTATACACGCACCGTGAGCACGTGCGACACATTTCCGACAGTCTACCCATTCAACATATCCCCTTCCTTTAGGACTCATGTGGACAGAATAGACTCGAGAGATTGCCTCGCAGAAATAGCAAAATTTATCAGGAAGGGAGGCGAGAGAAGAGGATGGGGAAGAAAGAGAGGGAATCGGGACATTACCTCCGTCACCCATTGCCTTTCACCGGCTTCTTGCCACGTGGAATAACTGCAACTTCTCCGTACTTTGGACCGTTATTGATGTCCGGGTCCTTCCACGGTGCGATCTCTTCTGCCTTTGGTACTTTACCGGGTCGGTGCAAACGTGTCAGTCCGTCGGCGTTGCCGTGTCTCTCCGTTTTTTGATGAACAATGTCAAATTCATACTCTTGCAACCGCACTGCCCATCGTCCGATCATGCCCGTGTAGTTGGTTAGCTTTTTCAGAGCCAACAGGGGTTCATGGTCGGTGACAAGCAGAAACTTCTGACCGTACATGTTACGGACTTCGCCAGGGCTCGATCCCTGGTCTATCTTTTGCTGTTTCGGCTGCATCCCGTTTTCGGCCTGGCACTCTTTTTCCAAACCCCTCCTTTGGTACCGTAGGATTTTGGACAACTGGCGCCATGATGCAATTCGGGCGCCACTTTCAAATACTGCATTTTTCAGT